ATGTGGATGAGTAGGAGTAGCCGCTCGAGGAACTGGTCCACCTTCTCAAAGTACGTCTGCACCGCCTTCTTCTTCCACCGAAGCTGCGATTCTGGGCTCATAGCAAGCATCTCGTCCCTCAGCCAGTCGTTCTCAAGTACTCTATCAAGCAGCCATCTATCGCCGCCCTGCTTAAGCTCGTCCGCGTTCCGCTGATCCTTTAGGAGGTTCCAGCCCTTCTTCTCGTTGCTGTGGTTGTCTTGGAGGCGATAGAGCAGGACTTGTGGCACTACATCGTCGCGAGCCTCGTCAGGATGGAGAAGGAGCAAGTCTTCTAGCTCTTGCTGGGCTCTATCGACCTGAACAGCAATAAATTTGCGAAGCGCGTCCATGCTAAAGCCTGTGTCCTTGTACGTGACTGAGCTTCCGTCCTCTGACCAGGCGATGTAGCCAAGCGACGTCGTGTTGCTGACTACCTTTTTCGCGTACGATCGCAAGCGGCACGCCCAGTCAAAGGCTGACCGAGACCCTCGAACCATGAAGCGCTCCCTCATCTCATCTAGAATTTCTGACGGGTGTTCGACCTCGCCCTCTTCTGCAGCCACTACTGATCGCTGTACAACAAGCATCTGCGCCATTTTGATAAACTTGGAGAGATCAGGCGAATAGCTGAGTGGGCCACGAAAGACGCCACCAGGGTTCTCGTCGATGCCTAGGACAGCAAGAAAGCTTAACACCACGCTCTCAAAGTGGTCGCCGTTAAGCGTGTGTTCAAGTAGAGCGATGCATAGTTGCAGAGATGCTCTATCAAGGTCGCAGACTACTTCTCCCGCCCTATCTCCTTCTGTGGGCGATGATTCGCTTTCTTGTAGACGCTGGAGGGACAAGAGCTCTTGTACCAGGCAAAGGGCCCGATCAAGGTGAAATAGCTGGGCGTTGGTAAGCCTGTGCGGCAAGGAAATGCTCTGCGTTGGCTGGCTTGTTCGATACACAAAGCAGAGAAGGCGCTTCCAGAGACCCTTGTACGCGCGGAATGTGCTCTTCCCAAGCTTCACCATGAGCATACGATCGTGCTTCCCAGAACGGCCAGCAATGAAGCTGTTAATTTGTGCCTGGTCAAAAACGCTGATTTTGTCCTCGCGGATAGACTGATGTGCGTGCTCAATAAGGCGCTCGAAACTCTCTCCAATGACGACAAGAGCGGGCTCGGTGATCGGGTTAGCTACATATGCCAGCGGCGCGACGTCAGCCATGTTCAGGCCGTTGAAATAGCGCGGCCACCTAGTCATCTCAAGCCACGGTGATACTTCAGTCTTCGAGACCTGACTGCTGTAGACCTGCGCTCTGGCGTCTTGCTCGTGGTTCCCTGCCGTGAGCTGCTCGTCAATCAAGGCTCGGTAGACGTCGGCATGTCCTCTTGGTCTACTCTTCACCAGCTCTTGCACTTAATCTGGGACCTTTACTAAAAAGAAAGAGCTCTGCGCGCCAGTAACGAAGAAGCGTTGGCAGTAGACCTCTTGAAATATAGGCCCTTTGTCTTCTTCTGGTATGTCTGCTATTCTTGAGGGTCTCCCCCCCTTCCGTGGCAGCAGTCGATGTTAGTTAAAGTGTGTGCTCATCTGTTTTAGCGCTAACTTAGTTCGTAACCGTATAAACTTGCAGCAAGTACACTGGTAGCCGCGATAGAGTCTAAGCTCTGGGATTGGCGAATCTGTTGCTAGTGGCATAGGAATAGTGGTAGTTGCTGGATTAAGGAGGTGGTATTGGTCAAGGAGATAGTTTGCGAGCAGGTCAGCTGGCTTTCGTAATGGAGAGGGTAGTAAGGAATTAATAGCAGCATAACGCGCATCGTTAAGGTGGTGAACTCTAATGTGGGTGGCAAGAGTAGTAGGCGGAACAGCATAGCCGCATGGCTTGCACAGCAGTACGCTAGAGGGCGCATAGAAAGTAAACAAATCCATAGTTAGGGACTGTACAGTAACTGCAGTAGTAGCGGCAAGCAGTAGAAAGCAAGGAAGAGAGATATCAGCAATATAATACGCGTTCTTAGTAGATAGCAGCGGCTTGTTGACAGAAGAAACGCGTACGCGTTGCGTGCTAGTCGACGCGGGTCTATTGTTGTTGTTGCTGTTTGGCGCCGAAGTAGGATCGAGGTGAAAGCGCATGGGTGTCTCCCACTACCGCAGGTGATTGGCTGAAAACGCCATTGAGGGCTTGATGGCCATGGTCATACAGTGCCTCGCCAAAAGTCTGTTCGCGCTAAACGCACGGGCCACGAACTCAGAAAATCTCATAGATTTCAACTCAACGCAACTCTAACAAAAGAGCTCCAAATAAAATTCTGAAACGACAGAAATGATAGTAATTGCCTCAATATCGTGTCTGGTACCCTCTTGCTTGGAGAACTGCATTAATACGTCGCGGCATAGACGTAATGAGGCTGCGCACCAGTTTTTCGGGTATAACAGCCCACGCCTCCTTCAAGCCCATCTCAAACTCAGCCCACTCACTTTCTGAGCCTCCCATATGATCGAGATGAGGTTTGCGCTTATGGAGCTCCTTTTTAAGACTCCACCACAAGTGTACTATTGGGTTGAGGTCGGGTGAGTATGGTGGCCAATCGATAGTATGAACACCATGAAGCTCTAACCACTCCCTCGAGTGATAGGCAGTGTGTATTGGTGCGTTATCCTGCATAAACAACTCGCCTGGTCTGTAGTAATCGCGGAGTCCTTCCTCGAGAGCCCTAGTGTAGCTGAGGCTTGTATACCCGTTGCGCTTTGCTGATGCGTCGCGGGTCATGATTACTAGAGGACTACGCCCAATTCTACCCTCTGGAGTCATCCAAATTGAGGCCCAAACCATGCGAGCTGGCTGCTGGCTAGTCTCCTTCTCCTCTACCATCTCATGCCTCCATTTGTTCGCTGGTAAACGCCAAACCCAGCAAGGATTGCGGCCAGATCCGCGGGCAATGCTGCACTCATCGCTGAACTTTAGAGTAGTACGATCCCAGTCGAAACTAGCCCATTGTAGAGCCCATTCACGGCGAAGTTTGGCAGTAGTTGCGTTGATTTAAGGCCTCCGGGCGGCTCTGTACTTGGAGTAGTTTGTACTTGCAAGTGCGCGGGCGATAGTTCGAAATGAAACTGGTGGTGTCGTCCCATCACCGTCAAGGCCCGCGGCTGTACGGAGAGCGCTGTACTCGATTGTAGGATCTTTCTTTACGATGATAAGAAGCCGACGATGATCTCTACTAGTTAAAATAGGTGGGCGGCCCATACGATCGTTCTTGGTGTGGTAGGCAGTCGATTTCCATCGCGCGATAATCTTCTGTACAGCGCGTTGTGTACAACCGAGTGTCTCACTGATTTCGCGCGTCGATAGACCAGCGTCAACCTGGGCTAAGATATATACACGTTGCGCTTCTGATAATTCACCTCCAGGCATTCGATTGCCCGAAATTTCAGTGCCAAAAGACGTCATATTGATGGAGTTGTGTGGTGTTGCAGAAGATACCCGTCTTGTGATCTCATGTTGTTCTTGGGCCCGTGCGTTTAGCGCGAACAGACTTTTGGCTTAGTACTGTATATAGATCGCTACGTAGCCTAGCCTAGATCTCTATCGAATACAACTACAATATACCTGTGCGATAGCTCCCTGAGCGTAGCCCCTTACACTATGTCGCACGGTTGGGTGCGGATGTTGTGGACAGAATAATAAGGAGAGAGTGTATGTGTTGTATTGTTTGTAGCACCCTAGCTCAGCTTATATGGAGGTGATCGCACGGCGTTATTAATAATAAGGTTCATGTTCCCGACAGCGCTTGGCCTGCGACACACCCCCTCAGATCTCACTCAGTCTCAGATGAGGTCTGATTGTCATCAGAGTTTGCCTCTTCGTGTCGATGCGCTGGATCAATCCGCGATGAGATATCAACCAGGCCTAAATGACGTACGAATTGAGAGTGCTTTCCTGCTGAGAGTGGTTTGGTGAAGCCATCCGAAAGCATTTCAGTCGTTGGAACCCATTGAACTGTAACGATACCGTCTCTGTAGACCTGCCTCAGCCATAGGCTATGGATGTTGACGTGCTTTAGCTTTGATGACGTTTGTGGTCTGCCCTTCTGGATCAGGCCTGTCGCCTGCTGGTTATCACAGAGTATGCGAGGTTGATGCTCGGTGTAAGAGGCTGAAGCCTTGGTTAGTAGTACTTGGCCTGTGGCCTTCGTTATAGCTGGTTGGGATAGGCTGCAACCCTCGGAGCGTTGTCGGGGCTTCATCGGCGCTCCACGGACCCTTAGAAGTTTCTCGAACCTAGCACTACGTGATACATAGACTCAGCGCAAGCGTAGTGTAGCTTCTCTATCGAATTCATTACTGTTATACCTTGCACTTATGGTCAACCCATCGCACCCTTACAGCACGGACACGGTAGCAGGCTACGCGCAGAGATTACTGCTACAATATCTCAATCGAAAAGGGGCCGCCCTCAATGGTCTAGATCGACATGTTTGAATATACTCGTAGCATACTGGTGTCACCTGTGTGTAATGTTCCACTCCATGCTGCTGAAGGTAGGATGGTCTATTGCGTGGGAAGGTTTGGTCAGAGAATCCACTCTTTCACTTGGGTACTCATATAGCTGTTCCATGTGTTAATTTTGCTATCCTCACAATCTTCTACTGCTCCAACAAAACACTTCGTTTCAGAAGTTGATCGAGTGTCGGCCACAGTCCAGCTCTTTTTCAACAGCCTCTTGATCTTCCATTGTTCTCCCCGTTTCCTTCTGCCGATCACAGCAGTCACCCTTTCTGCTTTCTGTCGCTCTATACGTATCCGTTCTGACCCGACCACCTGAATGAGGATCGTGTATCGACCCGCGACTGTCAAGGAACCGTAGTCCCGACATATCTCGACACATTCCGTCAAATCTATCGTCGCAACCCAATACCAGAGGGTTCACAGATCCTGATAGAATAAAGTTAGTGATATGCTTATATTTACGCAGGTGTGTAGTGAAACTCAACCATAATTTGTTTCCTGCGACTGGGGCTTCTCCTTGCCAACTAGAGAATCAACACCGTAGGTGACATCAACGTCTTCGTAAACGTCAGAGCCTTCAGACTCGTTCAGAGAAGCGTAAAGCTCGTCTCCTGGCAGGGCCTCTTCTTTGCTGTCGTGGATCATTGACACAGCCATCATTGAATGTAGCAGCAACATGTTTTGATCGAGGGTGTTGCAGAGGAGGGCCAAACGCCGTAGGTCATCTTGTGTCTGACTTGAGGTGACGCGCAATTTGTTGGAGGTGACAGCAACAATATGCCACAGCTCGTTCATGCTCGTTGACGTGGTGCCCATAGTAGAAGATAACATAAGCAACCGTGCTTCCTGTACCAAGATTGGCGGGAAGCAACAATGTACTCAAGAAGCTGTATGATGATGGAGTTTCTTCTAATAGGAAATCTTCGCGGTTTATATCCCTTCATGGTTCCCATCGGTAGAACTAATCATGAAGTACATCTCTGTCCTTTAGGCCACAGGAAGTCGCATCGTTCTTAACCGCAGTGACGAAAAAAATGTCCGTGATGCCTCTCACACTCTTGGGTCGAACGATGCTCACGTTATCTCGGCAGCTTCCGCAGCTTCTAGTGGCTGTTGGGGCATGTGTGCGCTTCTCTACCAAACTTTGTCACACGAGCCGGCACTCCCCTAACTCTAATCAAATTCTCACATGCTTCGTCTCAAATGTAGTTCTAGCTAATCGCCATGGATGGAAGTCTAGACCTCGCCACAGCCGCCGAAGGAATTTCGGCGATCAGGTGTTGGCTCACAAGCATACGAACGCTTCGTTACCACTGCGGTGCAATGTCCTTGTGAATAATAAGCCAAAGCTCGGCTACTTCAAACAATATAAAGATGGCTCGAAGATCCCGTTTGATAACAATCTGGCAGAACTGGACTGTGTGCTCGTAACTGTCAAAATTACAAACGGGGACAGAAGCGCGTGGCCCACCATTGGCGGTAATGTCTGTAATGGTTTGTGTTCAACACCTTGTAAGCCGCCACGCGACAGTCTCCACCTACACTAGTTATGCCTGATACCATAGTACGAAGATCAAAGTGACCCATTGAGTTGGAAATACGGCGATGACGTCATGGTGTTCATTAGTGGACCATCCGGCGAGGGGTTCATGGTAGAGACGTCATCTCCCTTATTATACAATGATTTCGCGTCAACAAGGTTGTTCACTGCCTACGACGCAATGGCGCACAAGCCCAACCCAACGCGAGATGACAGCCTCTCCTCAGCTTAATTCCAGATTGTATCACAGGTGGGTCGGGGACAAGCTCACGCAGTCGTCGATATGGATGGGCATTAGCGCCCCTGACCAGTTACTGGTCTTGCAAACGCAAAGGCGTGACGGATGCGCCATTATAGATGAGTTTTCAGGTTAGAGCTGGCGCACGTTTGATTCGTGGACGTCGGTGTCGTTAACCGGGTCGAGTGCGACAAAGAACTGCTATGGGTGGTTTGCAAAATACCTGCCGCACTACCGGTATCTTAGTCTAGCAGGTATAATTTTCGCGGCCAATGCAAGCTACATGTTCGTTAACCCCTTTGCACTTGGCCTCAACAAGCTTTCACGGTATAAGCTTTTCTTTTCCGATGTCATCTAGCTGACCTAATGCATCCATCTCTAAGATACTTAGATATTTGTCTAGTGGCGGCCTGGCATGATACTGGCATTGCATGCACTGTATCAATAGGCGCAATGTAGTAGAGGGTACGAGTAACAAGACGCCATCTCAACACACGGACTTTTCGAAACATGTTTCTGAAAAAGTCTTACTGATAGTTACGACTGTTTATCTACAGTAGCGAGGCCTCTCGGTCACGTCTAGCGCAAAGAACGGTGCCTCCGCATCGCAAGTCATATCTGGACTTTGTATTTGTAAACGTATCTCGAAGCCAATCATAGCCGTCAGCACATATTCTTTCTTCTTTCGATTCTCCTTGCTATTGTGTTTAGTTGGCAAAAATGCTGGTTCAGCATTATGAAGCATTCGGCGTTTCTTCTGCCGGATACCCCCGGAAGCACGTTGCTTTTGCTTCGTCAGTGAGAAGTGTCTCCCGAACGCCAGATAGGGCAATGATGGGTTCCGCGGGGAAATCAGTACGGCGATCTCTGTTTCCATGTTCCTGCGTCGAAGGCGGGGTGAAGTATACCCAGGCGATGGAAGGGCTTTTCTCGTTGAAGCTTATGACAGTCGTGACGCGAATGTGAGGAGCTCCTCGTGCATGGACTTACGTCTAGTCTGAAATGCGATGGATATAAGAAAGGTGGAAAAGTACCTTCGTTAATCTCCATCAGACAACAGCTTCCTCACCTAGCAGTCAATCAATCCATCATCTACACAGTCGTTCCATCGCATCCGTTTTTCTCACCAACAACCTCCGTACGTACCAAAATGCGTTTTACTACTCTCGCTTCCCTCCTGTTCACCGCCGGTGGTCTCATTAACGCCGCACCTCTCGAATCCCGCCAGGACAACTGTCCAGTCACTACTACTGGCGATTGGACTTGGAAGATCACTAAGTTCACTGGGCGTCGCCCTGAGGGGAACTACTACAGTGTGCTCTCCTTTCATATCACGGCCACCAACGAGGGCGGTTGGCTTGACTTCGATTGCTCGGCCAGTGCTGCTTGGCTCCAAGACGACGTGTTCTTGACATGTGGTCCTAACAGCGGTATAAGCTTTGCGTTCCAGAGCCAATATAACGGTCTAATCGTGAGGCACGGAAACACCCTGTGAGCCATTCCGATTTATCAGCCTGAACATGTGACCCTTTTCGATGAGAATGATGTGCATCAACAATTCATGCGCGAAGGGAGGGGTTACGAGGGACAAGAGTGTGCTAACAATCCTTGTAGCAATCCTAAGATCGGTACCGCTACTATTCCGACTGTTTGTCGCGCTGGTGGGGACGGCCCTAATGATCAGGTCTGTGAAGGTGTCGCGGACAGATATGTCTCGCTCGTCGACCTTCCCAACCTTTGAGAACATGTGATTTATGAAGAGTAAGCGGCTCCCAACTGTATGCAGTTAGCTTAGCTACAGTACTACCGTGTATGTGCGGGTACCGTGCCTAGACGGATGTTGTCGCACGGTTGGGTGCGGGTATTGTAGACAGAATAGTTAGAAGAGTGTGTATGTCTTGTATTGTTCTAGCATCATAGCTCAGCTTATATGGAGGTCATCGCACGGCGTTATTAGTAATAAGGTTCATGTTCCCGACAGCGCTTGGCCTGCGACAATAACTCTTGTATGTAGCTCTATAGCCTCATTTTTGTGATGCCTGTAAGGGCGTCGGAGTGATCGTTGGTTGACTCCGATCGTTGGGTGCACGGACACGGTAACGGCGGCCAGCCCCCTATCACCATCGCCCGAAAGTCATGGCATGGAGGCACCTTTCAACAGTAGAGATGTCTGCTTTACGCATATATACAAAGTATGTCTGGTCCAAGCTCGTTGTGACATCGCTAATGTGTCAAATCATATGGAATTGAGATTGTTCGAATGTTTCTCCTCTTGACCCCACTCGCATGATGACATCAGCGCGTATTGCCTTTTCCACCGCCCCAGCCAGCGAGAGCCCATATGCCTTTGACAACCGCATCCTCTCTGTCGTGACCTCGCAGACTCATCTTGCCCTTTTCCAGTTGATACCTTCGTAGTTCGTCATACACTCCCACCAAAACATCCTCGAGCCCATCACCCGGCTTGCCCTTCCAAGCAGCTCCGCCACCACCAATCTTCGTACAACAACGTTCAACCACCAGGTTCATGACCTCATGGCGCTTGGTTGGGTACGGCCTTGGCGCAGGAAAATGTGCGATACTCTGGCTGATAAGCACGGTATAGAGGTACAGTAAGGGGAAGTAGGGAGACTCGGTTTGGTGAGAAGCTTCGATGATGTAGCGCCACGATATGTCTTCTTCCCCGATAGGTAAGCAGGCGTTTGCGCGCCATACCAGTTTGTTTGCGCGCGGATTCGTGGTTAGCCATTTCGGTAGTACAGAACCTGCGCTGGCCATTAAACGCGCAAGTCGAACCAGCGGGATTGCAAGACCAGTCGCTATATCTGGGCGGCCTAAGGAGTCCCAAGATGCGGCGACGAGATTATAACAATCCAGGAGAGAGTCTTGCCGCCGATCGTCGGGCGCGTTGGTACGGTGTGCGGTGTTGATGAGGGCGGGGATGATGGCTTGGTCGAGGATGGAAGTCACTGTGAAGGCACCGCTGGGCTGTCGCTGCCAGAGTATCTCTAAGCCAGACCATATCTTCATCATGAAGGTATGAAGACGCTCGGGCGGCTGGTCGCATAATGTTTTCCAAATGGAGGCCGCGTCGAAGGATGCCCGTGGGTTTGGCTTGGGAACTACTACATAACGGCAAGTTGGACAAGCATTCATGTTTCCCCTGCCGCCTTTGAGCCACTTCTTGATGCACTCATGACCAAATATATGCTTGCAGGGAAGTGCCACAGGCTGATGGGTTGCGTTGAAGTGCTCGGTGCAGATGTTGCAAGTGTCTGCAGGATGCAGTTGCGTATTGAGGAAGTTGTCCATGACTGTTCGACCGAGGGTTGCGAGTTGGTAGAAACCGATTCGAGCGACTAGATGCTCAGAGCTTGCAGTTAGTAGACATGTTTGTGGAAATGCATCAGATGGGTGAATCTGTTTGCAGTGAATGAGTGATTGTGAAGGGACAAAGGCATAGAAGTTTGCGACTTCACTGCTTTCTATCGTGTGAATTCGAGACTCAATTGTAGTAGCTAACTCGTAAGAAAGTAGCCTCTGACTTTGGAAGGGACGTTTGCTGTGAAGAGGAAGCTGGTCATCTGCACTGGAGACCAACGGCGCTTTCAACCGTCTCTCACAGAGGTCGCTCTCAATACAGGTAATGGCTGGATGTGTGTCGTCTCCCAATGGTAGTCCGTCATCCCATCGGTCAGGCCATCCCCGACATGTTCGATCGCCTTGTTGCGGTCCGATCCAGTGCCCCAAGATGGATGATTGGCTGACGGCTGTTCCGCCGCGAAGTAACATTAATTTCTTTTAGGTTCTACGGAACGCAACGGCGTCATGTAGCGGCCGAAAGAAGCAAGCGAGGTTTAGCGACAGGTCTGTCAATTCGGCGAACAAGGCCCAAGCGCGGCCCGTCCCCCACATTTGATCTTCGGACTGCAGTATCGCGATACTCAGCCCTTGTGGTCTACCCGGGCTTGGCATCACCTATCCAACAACATGGCCCACCAAGCGAGACCATGTTCGTCTGGCGCTACCGAGGATCACCATTGCATATAGCGATGCCGCATCTGATCTGTCTTAGGTGGTGCTTGAACGAGCTGAACGCTCGCGACGGCTTACTCCACCTCCGAAGTCGCCGACAACCTACTGAACAGGTCCCAACTATCCCATGTGCGGATTAGAGCTGCTGCATGTGCCTTTCCGGTACCAGTGAAGCGTATGGAACGGCATTTTGGATGGCTCCTCCAGTTCACCAGATGCTTTGAGAATGTTGCGTCATTGCACGAGTATCTCTTGCAGCAGCAAGCCGCGAGCAGCTCGTCTGTGCGATGAGCTGACTATGCCAATGGAAGTATGGATGTGCTGCCTAAGGTGCGCTACCTTAGTGCGTTGGCATGGGTGCTGGTTGACGACATTGACAGCATAACCATCACTCCCACTCAGATCCTCTACGTCTTTTTGCACCTCAACCATCTCCTCACCCTTATTAGTGCTTGACATTATCATAATGGCCGGCACATTCGCAACCAACTCCGAAATCACGCCCGAGACTCACTATCATGAAGCTCAAGGCTAGTGGACTCCGAAATGTCTTTTCCGAGCCTTCCTCACCCACAGGCAACCGGTCTTTCTCATTCGGAAGTCAAGCCAATGGTGCCAGTCACAGCTTATCGCTGACACGTCGTTCGACTCACCAGGCTAGCTCATTGTCTCGCCGCGCAAGCACCTTCCTCCAATCACATCGTACTCTCTTGACTCCTGCTCCTCTGGGCTGGCGTTGCTGAACCTTTTGAATATAGCGTTGGGTTCAAGCGGAGGTATACCAGTAGACTGGTCAACAAACAAACAGATCTACAGTTTGAATACCCAAACAAGCTAGTTTCCGTCCGGGATTTCCTGTCTAAGTATTCAAACTGTAGATCTGTTTGTTTGTTGACCAGTCTATATACCAGTAGCTTCAAACGAATTGAGTATCGTCGCTTCTTTAAAGGAGCTTGCCCATGCCTTCCAGAACAGGGGGAAGAAGTCACCCTTCTTGATAGGAAGCAGCCCCTGGCTCCTCTCAAGAAAAGCGGACAGCTCGTTGGAGTAGGCCTGTGAGAGAGGCTTGAACAAGCACACATCAAGCGGCTGCAACGTGTGCGTCGAATGGGGAGGAAATATAGCTAGGTGTATCTTGTGTTGATCACAATACTCGATAAACTCTGAGGTAATGTGAGATCCATGGCCATCAAAGATAAGTAGCCGGTAAGACCGTCGAGCTTTCACCTTGCTGTAGCGATCAAACACCTGTTCGACCCAGGCAAGACCTATATCGTTGTTTGTCCAGCCCGATTGTGATGAAGTAACGTGTACGGAGTGCTCTCCTGGTTTAATTTCCTCTATCCAGCTTGATTGTACATTACCGGAAGCTGACTGAAAGACGAGGTTTGGCGGCAAGTATGATCCATCTGCACACACACAAGCCAGAAGGCTAATCCACTCGCGATTACCATCTTGGATGGCCACTCCAACCTCCCTCCTCTCCCACATCCGTCTGCTGAATACTCGTTTTCAGCGGCTGGTGATACCAATCAGAAAGCCCTTCTCGTCCATATTGTATGTGTGACGAGGCTCGACATCATATTCAGCAAGTTTGGTACGCAAAAGGTTAAAATACAGGCTGTGTTTAATCCGTGAGTCAGCTTGGTGGCGATTGCGATCCATACCGACGGCCCGTTTGGAGATATGTTGGTCGCTGTTCCGCTTCAGGAAGCGGGTAACCCAGCTCTCACTGATAGGTTTCTTGGCTACTGTTGACGCATAGTTTTGTACTAGCAGCCTTGTATGAGGTACACCTCGCTTTGTAAGCTTGATACTATATCGTACAAGCTCCCGCACCTGTTGTGGGTCGAGTTTTCGTCGGCTGAGTCCCTCGCTTGTACGCGACGCTTGAACAGCTTAATGCCTTCGCGATAGCGTAGTGTGATTAACACCAAACTGGTTTGCTATATCCTTGTAGCGAAAAGGTTCTCCAGACGGCAGACATTCTATTGCTGTAATAGCGTCATCAATTGGGCTCAAAGGGGTGGACTTATGTGGGGTTGAAGTTTTGGGGTGGTTGGTGCCCCGCGCTCGTTGAGTGCACGGACACGGTAGTGGGTGCGCGCGATTTCTGGTTAGTCACGGTACCGGTAAGCTGCTAACTGGCAAGCACATGGCGTGATACAAGCGTTCTTGGTGCAAGCTAGCCAGTCGGCTACTTTCCTCCATAACCCTACTCTGCTACACTGATCTACAAGCTACATCCTGCACTCCGCCCATCCCCATTATCTCTCTGTGCCTCCACCAGTTGGAATGGTCGGGATGAGTATCGACCTAAGCTGGCTCAAGCCATCACCCGATGTCGTTTCGGACAACCTTGCCAGCCTCTAACATGTGCTTGTATGCGGGCTGATGTGATCTTCGAGGAAGCGCTGTAGATTGATACTGGGTGTCGTTTGCTGAAAGTTGCATTTTCTTCCATTGCCTTTACAGTGAAACTAAGCCTGGGTTTATGCAGAATGAGTCTGTGTTGCGTCAGTGAAGCGTCGCAGTTGAAAGTGAACGGATGCAGGATCTTGGTGGGATAGGTGGGATGGTACGCCCGCTCATGATGTACGTAACTATACTATGTAACCAAAGACTGCGTATGCTGTACTTCTATAGCGGCCTGATGTGCTCATGCGGAGACTGTTCACAGCAGCATTGATTATGGGTAGAGCGGCGAGCACTGCGAAAAGAATAGATCGCATGACGGTAAATGAGGTATTAAGATTAATTCGTAGGATTGTTTACAATATGGGATACAAGGTGCAACAGGTCGAACAAAAGGGGGGGCTGCCAGACAGTGTCCAACGAAGGAGAGAATGAGAGACGGCCATGTACGACATTGAGATCCGCGACCAGCATAGGCTTGTAAGTCCAACAAATTGTGCTAACTCGTAGTCGATTGACATTGACGTGCCGCGTTTCGACAGGGTTTCGTATGCACGATCCCGGTCCGTGCGCCACCATACGTTAGATGTGCTCGGCCTACCCAACTTTGATATCTTGCTTTGGCGTCGACCACCCTACGCTATCATATTCCTTTTCATGTAGTACGAGGCATATGCCCGTCTCTTTCCGATAGTTGAGCTGAGATTCTAATACACATCGCTCCATTTATCGCCCCAGGTATCGCCCCAGGTAGCAAACGCACGCCTACTTTCGACACAGAGTGTAGCACAGAAGATCCGGCATTAAGTTGGTATAACACCATTTCTGTAGAGAAGAGTTAGCGGGGTATTCTCGTCACGATGACATCAAAGCCGTCATCACTAGGACCCAATGCAACACAGGCAACACAGGCAACACAGGCAACACAGGCAACACCGGCAAAGCAGGCACGATCCAAGAAGGCTGCCACTCCAGGCCACACTAAACAAGGAAGAGGATCAGCAGGCGGATTGATGTTACCAAAACAATCGCCAGGAAAAGCTCCAGTGTCATCGACAAAGAAGGTTGCAGCGGCACCAAGTACAGATGACGTTACCACAGCGGGCATAAAGACACAGAAAAAGAAATCTAGAAATTTGAACAAGGAGCCCACGTCCACATCCGCAGACACTGCAAAGTCTACTACCACGAGCAAAACTTCAGCAGACAACCCCTCGGCTTCTGAGTTGGATGCTCTCAAGTCTCGCGTCAGAGGCTTGGAAGCTAAAGTCGAAGAGCTCTACAAGGTAGGTGCTATTCCCGACATCCGACCCGGTCGCTCGCCTCGTCGACGAGGAAAGGGTCGGAAAGCCTCTTCTGCAGCGCCGGTTCCCATGCCCAGTACTACAGCCAACGAGAGCACTGCCGGAGTGCAGGAACTCGACGACAAAGATGAAGAAGAAGCAGACGAAGAACTCGTGCGTTTCGAAGGCGAACTAGAAGTCGCAAGACAAGACTTGGAATATTATCACTCCCGAACCAGACGTACCATATCAGGTGACACAAAAGGTATCGAAGAGATAGATAGGAGTGCATCAGGAGTAAGCAGCAGCAGCGGTGGTGGTGGAGCAGATCGACAAGTCACCCTGTCAGGCAGCTACTGTATCCCCATCCCCACAAACGTCAATCTCGAAGACATCAAGACCATAAAATCAGGTGTCTCGGCCGCCCAAAACGTAGCGCGATCTTCCCTCGAACAACGACGCGCCGCTGCTGCTGAGAATAACCCTTCATCACCGCATTCTAGCGCCAAGGCTACAAAGGTGCCTGCGTACAAGTTCACCACCGCTCAGCCCAAGCCAAAAAGGAGCATGAGTTCGAATATGGAGATTGTAGTGGATAATAGTGATGGCAAGCAGAGCTGGAGCGAGTGGATCGGGGGATATAGTATGGCTATTACGAGGGCGGTTAGTAAGATCGAACATGAGGTTGCTGTCGAGGCGCAGAGGAGTGGTGATGGCATTAGTGGTGGAGGAGGAAGTGGGAGTGGGAATATACCTACAGCGGGTGCGAGGAGAATGAGTGCGCCTACGTCTAAGAAGGCGGCGGTGAAGAGACCGGCTGCTACGGCTACGTTGAGTGGCGAGCAGGTTCATGGGTTGATGATTTAGATGGGGAAAGTCGTGTACGATATAAATTTAGATCTACTAGGATCATTTGGGTTTGGCGTAGAAAAACAAGGGCGCAAGTATGGAATATGATTTGATCATCTCTATTATTCAAATCATTTGAAATTGCACCAACAAGCACTACCACCTATGGTGCCCACATGCCCTGGAAGCAACTGACCTAGGTATGCGCACCATCTCTCGCACCATTTCCTTGTCCACTAACACCACCATCTCCGTCCGCTACCGCTTGTTCCACGTTCTCACCTCCGTTTCTAGCCGGCGTCGGATCCCCAGCGGGAGGAGCGTCCTCCTACATACAAAGAGAGATAGTGTTTGATCCCAGAAAATACTTATTCTATCCACATTGGCGACTTTGCAGCAATGGATAGCCAATTACGCGGACATGTTGAGCGTCTCAAACTTGGGCAATATATTCCCGTGCTTAAAGAGAAAGGGCACACATCTTAGGGTCAACTCACGGGGACCTCAAATAATTTGTGAGGTTAAGTACGGATTCGATCCGAGGAATCTTCAAATTACCAAAGTTCTGCGGGAATGTATTACAATACGGTATGGATGAAGGTGTTGATGGGTATTGGGGTGGTTTCCTGGAGCCCATTCTTGAGAAGTTGACCAGTACTTCCTCAAGACAGGATCATGCTTAGTTTTGATCCGATGAGGTTCGGTTCACCTTGGCCCGTTTCGCCTCACCCTTGACATGGTGAGTGTCCATTTGCAGCACAGTTCGCGCTTCGCTTTTCTACACGAACGCCTCTCTTACCAAGGTTTACAGGGTGCATACATGACTATCGCGGTTGAACCACATTAAGAATCGCTCTAAACTATACCATATTAGTATCGTGTAAACCATACTACGTTAATTATGGTGTTGAACCGCGTTGAATACCGCGATAAATACCGCGTTAAGTAAATAAACATTAATTTAAACATGTTGGTGTGGTTACTTGCTTTAATACCAATCTATCCCACCCGTTCCCTCATCCACAACACTGAGGAGAGTTTCCTGAAGCTCTGGCTCAATCAGTAGACCCATCCCATTGTCCCAGACCGGCTTAATGTGCCTCTGTCGTATCCAATTGCCGATACACTCGATCATCTCGATAGTAGTGCATCGCAATCGCAATCTGTCCCATGAACAGGTCCTTCTGGCCCCAGAGAATGTCCTTTCCGGCTCTGACGATTCTGCGGGGATAGATAGAATAGCCATTGCCATGCGGCTAAGCCCTGGAAAGCTGCGACGCTGCTCAGATTGACACCACCACTCGAGAGGAGTGACTCCATCATTCAAATCAATAGCTGGGCCATTAATAAAACTTCTAAAGTTGTCATCTGGCTTTAAACTGATGGTCTTCACCTTCGTCTTCTGTTTTAATAAGGTAAAGACGTTCACAGGCTTATCTAGCTGGCCAGCCGAGATACCGGGTGCGTTCTCTGGAGCTGGAAAAGAATCTGGTTTGATATCAGGCTTGAAATCGTTCACCCAGATTGTATTGGCGAGTTCAATGGCAGGCTCCACCCACTCTTCTGGCCAGTTCTGGTGTAGGTAGGCGGCTCGCTTGCGCGGATCGAGTAGTATCGCAGCAGCGTACACAGGTGTTTCTCCCGTTTTGTTGTAGTATTTGTCGAGTACGTACCAACCCATATCGATGGCTCGAATCATGCGTTCATCGTGGTTCTCAGGTAAGGAGTAGTAGTTCTACTAAACGTGAGTATTCGGACCCATTAAGTAGAACTAGATACTGACCTTCTGCTCTTCATACCACGTTAATAGGAGATCCATCAGCTCAAGCGATTGCGCACCCGATGACTTGTCTTTCTCTGCGTACAGAGTAGCCGATGCGAATGGCTCTAAAAAGTGAGCAGCCTTTTCGAGGATATCCCAATCGTTAGCTTGAAGCCGATTGTCGCCCAGGATGTTCTCGTGGTCGGTCATAAAGCTCTTGATCTTGTCCATCTTCTTTAAGGCCAGACTTTCCAACAAGCGAGCCAGATCAAGCGCTTGACTTGATCAGCTTGAAGCTTGATTGTTCCCTCAAGTCAAGCTGCCTTATAGTAATTAACAAGCCAAGTCAAGCTGAGAAGGAAGCCGGCTTGAGTAGCTTGGTCAGCTTGAGCAGGGAGGAGGCAGCAGCTAGCCGCTTGTGAGGCTGCTGGTTCTGCAGTAAGAGCGATCTCGTGATAGTCTTTTAGTGTTGTAAACGTAGCTTAGTAAGCGATCTATGAAACCTCACGCCGTGCACAGCATGCTCTATCCTATATATCTTTGTCCTACCCTTCTTGTCGTTACTATGGCACCTAAACGCGGTTCTGCTGACCCATTTGCACCAAGAAAACGCGTTAAATCCACCCCTAGAGGCACTCAGAGTCAGCCCGTTGTTATTAAAGACTCCCAGCAGTTGCAGCGCCTCTCGCCGCGCCGAGCTCTTATTAAGTCGCGCCTATCTGACGATACTTTCGAGTCGCAATCACGCAGCGCTGCGTCCGAAGCCGCGATCGTCGCGCCAGATAAGGACGCCAGCGAGGCCGCTATAGTTGAGGACGGTGCTGAGGACGGTGGCTTCGACGCCCACCTTGAGGACAACTTTAACGACATTGAGTGGAGTCGTTTGTCAGGTTTTATAAAGCCGCTAGCGTCGTCGCGGGCGAGGAGAAGCTAGGTATACCGCCATGGCTGGCGCGTCGCCCTGCTCAAGGACCCAGATCGCATCTTTTTCGTGTGCCGTTACTGCCACAAGCACCAGCACATGGGCGGCGTATATGAGGCGACGCGGTCGCTGACATCAGCAGCGCGTCACTTAGAGGAGCGGAAGCATGGCCATGGACACTAAGCGCTTGGCAAAGCCGCCGTTGTCGGCCAAGGGAGCGTCCTGCGCCGTGTCCTTAAGGACGGCAAGATCACAGTCGCGCAGGCGACCGCTAACGAGCTCTCTAGCTTCAACACCACGCGCTTTAGGCTCGCCGCCGTCACTTGGCTCGTGGACAGCAACCACCCACTCTCCGAATTCAAGAGATCTTCTTTCCAGACGATGCTGGCCATAGCTAACCTAGAGGCAGAGGCGGCACTGTGGACATCCTCTATAAGCGTGTCGCGCTACGTGCTGCGCTTGTACGACTACCTAAAGCCGCGCGTTGTTAAGGAGCTGTCGCACGCGCTAAGCAAAATACACGTTAGCTTTGACGGCTGGACAACAAAGGGCGGGAAGCGTAGCTACCTAGGTATTGTTGTACACTACGTTGACGTTCGTGGCAACCTCCAGGACCTTCCTATCGCGCTGCCCCAGCTTACAGGCGCTCACAGCGGCCAGAAGATAGCAGAAGTCGTCCTTAAGACGCTGGATCTGTTCAGTATTAACGCGCAAACAGTAGGCTACTTTGTACTTAACAACGCGAGTAACAACGACTTAGCTGTCGCGGCAATTAGTTAGAAGCTTAGCTTTCGCGCGTCTGATCGCCGCTACCGTTGCGGACCTCACACGCTGAATCTCGTCGGCCAGAGGCTCCTCTAGGGCTAGGATAAGGACGCCTACGACAACGAGAAGCGCGAGCTTGCTGATGAGACTAAGTTTATAGGCGAGTGGAGGCGCTATGGGCCGCTTAGCGTCCTGCTTAGCGTTATTAACTATATTAAAACACTACAACAGTACGAGCTTTTTAGTAGTTTTCAGACGCTCGCTTACCGTAAGCTGCCTGCCAACGCGCCAGAGGAGGACCGCAAGGTGCTAGAGCCCGTTAAGCCTGTCGTCACGCGCTAGAACTCGTACTACTCGTGCTTTGAGCGCGCTGTAAAGCTGCAATCTGCTGTCAACGCCTACGCTAACCACCATATACGACGAGTGCGAGATGAGGACACATACGCTGAGAGTCGCGGCAACAAGCTGCCTAAGGCGCCGCGGTGGATGCGGTCTGACGGGCTTACAGCAGCCGACTGGGCGGTGGTTACTAAGTACTTAGACGTCCTAAAGCCGCTTAAGTCTGCTACAAAGCGTCTTAAGGGACGCGGTAAAAGCGGACGCTTTAGTTCTATTGCTGAGATTATTCTAGTCTTTAAGTATATACTCTCGTACTACGAGCAGAGATGGGAACAATCAATTCAATCAATTTTGAGCCTGTAATTGTTTCTAATTGAAAAAACTCCGAGTTCACATTAATATTGACTTGATTGAAGAGGTTTTTAGGCATGTTAATTGATAATTGATTGACTTTTTGATGGTTCTTGATGTGAAACTTTGAGTAATCTTGTATACAAATAGTTAGAGATCTGTCTCCCAATTGCATATATCGTAGATCGCAGCTAACTCAGACTCATTTAGAGTATCCTCTGCGTTATTAGAAGGCTTAAAACCTGCCCTCTTCCAACTCCGTACACATTGTATCGCAGCTAGTAGTTAAGATCCAATCTTCCGCCTCCGAGGCTCTAATAGATCGCCAAGCTCGCTAAAGAGGCGCTCACATTGGCAGCTACTGGCTAGTATTGTGAGCAGATCTATCGCGAGTTGCGATAGGTGAGGATATCGCGTGCGTAGGCCAATCCAGTATAGTATAGGGCTGCCTTCCTATGCGAACTGCGCCTTTGTCCACGCTGGCTCATATCGCCGCCAGCAGTCAAGCTCATCCGCCTCTGATATGTTCAGCTCGGTTGTATACTCGCGATCAACGAGCGCATCGATCGCATCGTCTATAGTGTTTGATCGTGGCGGTAGAGGCCTTCTTGTAGGTAGCGATAGCGGCTTGTATTGCGCCCAAAGCTGTTGTAGGGCATCCTCGTTTGCGGTAAGCCAGTGAGGCTTATCGCGCCAGCTGTTAAAGCAGTAGTTTTTGTAGTACGGGTGGAGGGAAACAGCGCCGTAGTAGGCAGGCGAGGCGTCGAGTTTAGTGTAGTAATCGTTTAGTTTCCGCCAGGCCGCCCTTAGGTTAATAGGCAGGTGGTCCTCAGGAGCGCTATTAGGGCTATAGTCAACGCTATCGTAGGTAGTAATTAT